GGGCTTCCCGAGACGCCTGGAAGTGAAAGTAAAAGCGCTGGGCTGTGCCCAGGCCTCCCCGGGAGCTGAGCTGTCCTGCGCCGCGCTGGGATCACACTTATACACTCCTGACTCACTTCATTTCCCCCTGGCTGACCGGAGTGCTCTAATGCACCTTCCGTTCCTGTCAGAGAGCCTCAGTTGCGTTTGTGTTTACAACTTGTAACTTCCCAGTGCTGTGAGAACTGGTGACGGAGGGGTTTGTTGCTCTTTGGGGTGTTCCAGCCAGTCACAAATGGGACGTGTTGTTCACCACACTGTGTCTCCCTCATCTGTTTTGTAACAGAGCAATTGCAGTAACGAATGTTTAGGTGATCAGTTTATTTTCCAGTGGCAGTAAAAACGTGTGTAAATCTCAGTGTGTTTAGTTTAATTGATTTGGTTTAATTCAGTGTAGTTCTCCCCCCTCCAAACTTGTGTTTGCAAGGGTTGAGGTTCTGGGTCACATCACTGTAGGATGTGAGAATGGACTGGGTTTACTGGCTTGAGAGGATTGATGTGAGGCCAGAAGTGTTGATGTTTATCCTTTCACTCTGAGTCGTAACTAGATTAGTGATCCTGAATAGCTTATGTGACTCTTTAGGTTCCTTGAGAGCAAGCACATAGTTTCCTTCTCTTAAACGTTCCCTGTGTCTTCCAAGACCTGAGTCTTAAATGTCTAAGCCCAGGGTACGAGGAACCCAGTCCTATCACTTCCCCAAATTTTAAGATTGGTATGGAAAAATAGGTAGAAATTTAGGTACAGTAAGAAAAACTTTTGAACTACAAGTGAGTTGTGGTGTGCTGAACAGTGAAAAATGAAAATAAATTGTTTTCTCTGAAGAAAAATCTGTAGATGATGAAATTAAGGAGTGTTAAAGTTTATAAACGTTCACTACAGAAATGGGATGGCAGGAGTCCAAAGGCTTGTGGATGATTGTCTTTTCTCTGTCTTCTCCATCCTTTCTAATTTCCAGCTGTTTGTCCTGTCTGTTGGCTTAGGAAATTCATGTCATTATCGTGCCTTTTCATCAGTACATTCACATAAACAGGAGGTGTTAAATAGAAGTTCTCTTTACCTTTAAGTTTCTCTTAATGTTTCCTTATCGTTCCCTTAATCTGGACCAAACTGTTTACCGTCATCCATATTTCCTATGGACGTGAGCTCTTTCCATTTCTCCTGCTTCCCACAGCTTTTGAGCCTTTCAGTCAATTTCACTCCAGCGAGGCAGATGTTTTGAGGGTCTAAACGTTCTGTCGATGTTGTGGTAAGTGGCAGGGGAGGGAAGGAAGAAAGGTCATGGCTCAGCATTGCTGCCCAGGGGGATGGGGCTGCACTTGCCTCTCAGCGAGGGCTCCACACTGGCTGGGGAATCCCCCGGGCTGGTAAGTCGGCCCGCGTGTAGCTCTGCTCTGGCCGTGGCTCGGTGTGTGTCCCTCCGAGGCAGTGACTGCGCCGCCTCCTCCCACCGTCCGGAGTTGGTGTAGGCACCGCCAGCTGGCAGAGCCATCGGAAAGGTTTGTGAGATAAGGAGCTGCACACGTAGCAGGTACTGAGGAGTATTGTAACACTTGTTCTGTGATCCAGTGCAGAAACCTGTTGTGAACTGGATTGTTGGGTTTTTTTTGGTCCCCAGTGCTCGTGAGGAAAAAGGGGATAATACTACCTTATGGATGAAATCATAATGTATCTGATCGTGCTTCATCCCTTTTCTTTTTATCCCATCTTCCCTGTTTTGTTTTTATACAAGCAAAAGTCAGATATGTATTTAAAACAGAATCCTGAGCTCCTATATTTAGTAAGAGTTTGAGGACTGTAATGATTTTGTTAAGTGACCACCTTGTTAACAGTTACCTGTATAGTTGAGTGTTTTGTTCTGTGGTGGTTTTGTTGGAGTGTTTGTTTTTCCCAAATTGCAGTTGAATTACCCTGTTGACAATTGTGAGATGCCTTTCCAGCACTTGTTAAATCAAACAACGTTTTTGTCCCAGTGTTTTCCTTTTAAACTTAGCTCCCAATTTAGTTCTTTCAGAATCCAACACCTTTTTTTAAAAAAAAAACCCCAACCCTGAATACGTTGCTCTTTTTTTTTTTTCATCTAAAGGACTTTTTGGTAAAAAACATCTTAATCCCAGTTATTGGAGAGTCTCATGCAATGTTCTCATGCACCTAACCTCCTAGCAAGATACTGTGATGATGTCTAAGTGCTGAAAGCTTCCATTAGAAACTCTTTTGTTAAAAGCAGTGGGAGAGAGAGTAGTTGTTTCAAACCGAGTTTCCAATGTGGATCTGTAGTGAGAAGAGATTAACAGATATTGTTGGTTTCGAAACATGTGGAGGATTTGCATCTCTCTGGTGGAGCTGAGGAACAGCTCCCACTTCAGTGGCCTACAGATATTAAAACGAGTTCAGGCTTCTAATACAAAGAGGTTTGGGGTTGCTTAGTCGTTTGGGTTTTGTTGACTCCTTCCCTCTTCAGTTAAACACTGATTTCATAACAGTGCTGGTTTAAGATGAAGTAGGTCAGTGTTTTTGAAATCCAAGTAGTTCTGAGATCTCGAGATGTGAAATCTCTTAGTTGCAGACATCACTAGGGAGCCAAATTTGCTAGTGCTTTTGTAAGCAATGCTGGTTTGATTTCCATAAATCAGTGTCACAGACATTTCTTCTTCGGTGCTGTTGCTAATTCCTGTCAGGAGGCCAAGTCCTGAGTAGGTTCTTCCTTGGTAAATTGTCACTGCACATATTTGAGTATTCTGAATTTCTGATAACAATGTTTTCTTTGTAAGACCTGGACAAGCACCTGACAGACTGTAACACAGCATTCCATATGGGGCAGTCAGTATGGAATCTGTCATGTTGTTGTTTGGAAGGTGGGGGAGAAAATGTGAAATACGTACTTAGACACAGAGATTTTCTTTAGGGTGATGTTTTATTTATGAATGTTTCAAAATAGTTAAAAATAATAACAGCAGTTTTCTATGTTAGATTGGAATGCAAGTGTCTCATTAGCCACTTTATTGAGTAGGTGCAGGAAATTGGTGAATCTAGCACGTTTTTATCATCCAGTCTGAGTGAAATGTTAGGCAGGCAAAAGCAGGGATGGCAGTTGGGAATCAGACTGGGGTTGGTGATAAAAACAAAGTCATGTTTCTGCAGGTCTCACACACAGTCATGTCCCATCAGCCCCATCTGTATATGCATTTAACTTGCAGCATGTAAATATCTGAAAAATTATTTTTGGTTTGAAGAAATTAATTTAGCCTGAAGTAAATAAAGCTTTGGTGGTTCTAATTGCCTCCTGTGGTCCTGTCTGGCCCCATCTGATCCTGACATGACTCAGCAGAATGCCCTGGCCCTAGGGACAGCTGCATTCTAGTCTGTAGTGACTAGAGTTACCCATCAGGTTGAAGAAGGTGAGTCTGCCCCCTCTGTTTGGTACTTACAGAACCACATCTGGGCACCACATCCAGTTTTAGGATTCTATGTTCCAAGAAAGGCATTGATATGCTGCAGCAAGGCTACTGGAGAGCATGAGAGCTGAAGAGAAGCTGAGAACTGGATTTCTTGAGAGGGAAAGTCTTACTACTGTCTTGCACCAGCCTAACTGGAGAGTCTGGAGAAGATGGATCTGTGTTCTTCTCAAAGCTGTACAGGGATAGGGTGAAAATAGACACAGTGTGGGGCATAGCAGTTTCCAGGATGGTATTAAGAAAAGCTTTTACACAGTGTGGTTATTTGTGGGGCCCAGAGGAGACTCATATCTCTGTCCATGGAGATACTCAGAGCTTAGCCAGCCAAGTCCCTGAGCTGATGGACCTGCTTGGAGCAAAGGTTGAACTAGGTGCCCTCCACAGTTTCCTAAATTATTCTGTGATTCCAGCCTTTCGTTTTCAGTCTGGGTTACCTTATGTATCCTTAGCCAAGTGAAACCAAAGCCTAGAGGGCTGCAAACCCCAAAGAGGCTAAAGCTCCTGCAAGTCCCCAGAAAAACGTTGGTTGAGTAGAAGGAGATGCAAATTGTAGCCTTGATAACTCTTGATAATTGCAGCTTTTCTGGTATTATTTCTGTTCTGCTGGCAGAGAGGTTTGTGTGTACAGCTTCATCAGCACTGCTCTCTCTTCAGCTGCTGCTTGTGCTGTAGAGAAGAGTGCTGGAGATTGCTGTGGAAATCTTGGGATGGGTGAGGGAAGAATGAGCAAGATGATGCCTTTTCACAGTGAGGACAGACACTGGAGCAGGCTGGCTGGAGAGACTGTGCTGTCTCCTTCCTTGGCAGTTTTCAAGGCTGGAGCCTGAGTGATCTTGTCTGACCTCATAGGTGACCCTGCTTTGAGCAGGAGGTTAAATTACTTGAGGTTTCATCTAACCTGCATGGCATGACCTTATGATCCTAAGCAGAGGTAGTGGAAGGAGGAGTATTCTTGTGAGATGTGTAGAAAGGTCAGTGAGGCACAGGTACATGCTGATGTATCAAATATTTATTGATTTTCAAGTTGTAAGTACTTTGCTTTCATCAGTCTAGAATTATTTTTTTCAGATAGATTTCTCTTTATGTTCTGAGATCTTGTATTCCTTGGGTTGTAAATTCTTGAGAGGTTTTTACTTCACAATTCAGGCTGAAGAGAACTTTGCAGTATAACACTATTATGATTAGTTTTTTCCTGTTAGGTCCTTTCCTTAGTTCAAGAAAGCTTGCCCTTAAACCTTTACTCTGATGAGTCAGGATTTGTGAGTTACCTTACTCAGTTAAGAGCGAAGTGAGTATGGGTGGGGTGTGAAAAATGACTGAAATATCAACAGCAATTTAAAAGCACTTACTTTGCTGTGGTTCTGCAGGTTTGCCTGGGTAACACGATGCCAGCTGAGCGCAAAAAGCCAGCAAATATGGAAGAAAAAGAGTCTCAGATAAATAACAAAGAAAAGGAATTTAGCGAGAGGCGACCAGTGAGCACCAGGGAGAAGCCAAAAGAGGATGTTAAGGTTGGCATGAAGAGAGAGACTTTAAAGGTTCCCGAAGATAAAAAGAAGAAAATGGAAGAGGATAAAAGAAAGAAGGAAGACAAGGAGCGGAAGAAAAAAGAAGAGGATAAAGTAAAGGCAGAAGAGGAGCAAAAGAAGAAGGAAGAAGAGGAAAAAAAGAAACTTGAAGAAGAGGAGAAAAAGAAACAAGAGGAGGAAGAGAAAAAGAAACAAGAAGAAGCAGCTGCTCAACTGAAGTAAGTTGTCCTTTAACTGTGCCATGTGCTGTAGTTCTGCTGTCAGGGCTGTTGGGCAGAATTATGAAAGATGAAATGTTGGAGTTACTTTTAATAAGTTGCATGTAGTGTTAAAAGTGTACGTGGCTATCTGAGTATGCTTTATGACTTCTACATAGTTTTGAGTTGTCACTTGTAACATCTATCACTTTGGTCTCTGATATGGGGGTTTGATAGTGTTCTGCATTTGATGACCATGTGCTGCTTGCACAAATCCAAAACAGCCCCATAGAGTCCCCTGTGAAGAAAACTGTCCCAGCCCAAACTCACATAGTAAAGCAGCACAATTTCTCTTAAGATGGAGAAGTGTTAGTGTCAAAAAATTTGGAATATAGACTCTAACAGGCTTACAGACCATAACAGGAGCAAGTCTGCTGTGAAGAGTGGCTGTAATTTCTTTTAATTAATCACAGAGGGTTGGCACCTGCATGGCAAACAGGATGTAACCTGGGAGTTTATTACATGATACTACCAAGACATTGTTTCTTGGTGTGTTACCAGAAGGTGCTGCAGTGTTGGAGATGGCATCTTCAGGCCAGTAAAGCTAAGATTCTGGATGTTCCTACGTTTGAAATATGTCATTTCTAAGACTGAGGCAATGTCTCAGCCAAATTCTATCTGGGACAGATCTGTTTCACCTATTTAACATCTTCTGTGTTAATTTTAGTAGTCTGGGAGTAAAAGTTTTCCATTTACTGTGTAATTCAGTAAGCTGTCGAGAGGTTGTTGTCCTCTTTGGTGAGAACTTCTGGAGTAAATGGAGTTTTATGTTTATGTTTTCGAAGTCTGTTGGGATTAGTATGTTCTGCATAGAAATATTTGAGAAATTTCGTTTTGTAACAGGCAGTACTTGCCTTTAGCAACAACAAAATTAAGCAAAGTTTATGAAACAAATGCTTGAGCTTTCTAGGATTGACTTGGTAAATATTTAAGAATAGAGTATTAAGGGGAAATTGTGTTTAGAACTACTGGAGCGTTTCCAACTGTGACCTTTCTTCCCTTTGAGCTGATAACCTGAAAGTGAGGTTCTGTAATGAAAATGGCTAATCTTTATGTCTCCTAGGGAAAAAGAGGAAGCACATCAGCTGCATCAGGAGGCTTGGGAGCGGCACCAGGCAAGGAAAGAGCTCCGCAGCAAAAACCAGAGCGCGCCGGACAACCGCCCCGAGGAAAACTTCTTCAGCAGGCTGGACTCCAGTCTAAAGAAGAACACAGCTTTTGTGAAGAAGCTAAAAACCATCACAGAGCAACAAAGGGACTCCTTGTCCCATGACTTTAACAGCCTGAATTTAAGCAAGTACATTGCAGAAGCAGTAGCTTCCATTGTGGAGGCCAAGCTGAAAATATCGGATGTGAACTGTGCCGTGCACTTGTGTTCCCTCTTCCACCAGCGATATGCTGATTTCGCTCCTTCCTTACTCCAGGCTTGGAAAAAACATTTTGAAGCCAGGAAAGAGGAGAAGACTCCCAACATTACCAAGTTAAGGACTGATCTGCGTTTTATTGCAGAGTTGACAATAGTTGGGATTTTCACAGACAAGGAAGGTCTGTCTTTAATCTATGAGCAGCTTAAAAATATTATTAATGCCGATCGAGAGTCCCACACTCATGTTTCTGTGGTTATCAGCTTTTGTCGGCACTGTGGAGATGACATTGCTGGTTTGGTACCAAGGAAAGTAAAAACTGTTGCAGAGAAGTTTAACTTGAGCTTTCCTCCTAGTGAAATAATTAGCCCAGAGAAACAACAGCCCTTCCAGAATCTGTTGAAGGAATACTTTACATCTCTGACGAAACACCTGAAAAGGGACCACAGGGAGCTGCAAAATATTGAAAGACAAAACAGGTGACACTTGAATGTTGCTTTTTATTTATGAAGCAAAAAATTGTTTGTGAAATGCCTAGATTTGTTGCAGGATTTGCACAGTCTGTTAGCACTGTGTAGGAGATAAGTCTGTTCTGCAGTGTGTCTAAAAATGTTCTGCGTTTGATCTGAATACTTAGAAAGCAAAGACCAAACAGATTCTTCCAATGTCTGTAGAGCAAAGGGAGGTTGACCTTTAGCTTTAATTCTCTTTACTCTGTTTGGTGCTGCTTCCTTATCAGTGTGAGAGCAATGCTGCTTTCCCAGCTGGTACTGTCCTTTTCCAGTTGGCACAGTCCAATTTCTCCCTTTCCACCCACATGTATCTAACAGAGCATATGCCACAATAGCTTGGGCTTGTTTACCTTTTTTGTTTACCAGCATGGAGGAGAAATTAGGTTAGATTGACAAGGAATCCTTTACACTTCAGCGTGGACAAATTTTGTTGCTGTAGTAAAATGTTGGAGGGCATAGACAATTTGCTTCAAATCCTCTGAAATGTCAGCAGTAATGCAAATATTGGAGGGTGTGAGTGTACACACCTTTGACATCTGAGTAACTATTTCTACCATATTCACATTGTTTAACAATTGTTTGCTATTCTTTAAAGCATCCTGAGTTCTCATCACTGGAGCCAGCCTAAACCCAACTGCTGCTCTTAAAGCAGAGTCATTCTTAAGTCCTTTTAGAAGCATTGCAGGCAGAGAGAAATGAACATGGTACTGTGTGTGGACACTTAACTGCTTAATGAAAGTTGAGGAAAAAAGTTTCCCTAAGACATCAAAAAACATTCCTACCAAATTTTATTTGCTTACAGCATGTCAGTGGCAGAGAGATTCTTGGCATTTGCATGCTATGGAAATACAAGGCATGAGGGCAGGACAGAAACTTGCCTAGTGAGAAGTCTGTGACCACTATGGAAATCATCCTAAACTGTGGATTTTGGGAATGTGATTGTGCAAGTGTTTGCCTGCTTACTTTGGGGTTTTTTGTGGGTATTTTTGGTTGGTTGGCATTTTTGCTTTAAAAACCAACCAGCAATCTTATTGGATAAAACAGTTCTCTGTGTATTGAAAATCTGTCCATTTTGCTAATAGCAACAGTTCTTATTCCTGCTACTATTCCAGAGTCCATGAAGTGAACAGGGAGTGAACTGTTCCCTCTTGTGCATCAGCTGTGTCACATGTTTAGGTTATGATATTTTCTCAGGTTGATTACTCATAAATTTATCTGTGTCAGGAGAGTGACTGCGGAGTAATTCAAGCTGCACAGATTGGATAAGTTAACTGAAAATTAATATGCTAACCTTAACAAAGCTTTAGTACTGTGTTAGCTGCAGAGTCAGTTAGGTGAAATTAAAGCATTATTAGTCACAGGGGTTTCTCAATAAGTGGATAATTAGGAAAACTACCTTGAGTTATGCTTTGACAGTAGAACCTGGAGATCATTTGGTTACACAGCTGAGGGCACAGCAAAACTTGTCAGGCTGTGTCACTGGAAGGTAACAAATTAATTCTGAAATTCTAGAGTGTTTTCAAAAATGAGTGTTAGATATGGAAGGAACTTCTCTTGTCTGAATTAAGGATGTTTTTAAGATGTGCTGAATATGCCTTATGGTACTTTGAAGAGGCATAAAGACAAGTACTCTGTGCTGTACTTTTAGTTGCATTCAGAAATGAGTTGTGCTTTTTAAAGTTTGTTTCATAGGCTTTAGCTTGCTTGAAGCTGTTAACATTTGTCCTCTGAGAACTGAAACTGAGAACCGAAACTCCTGTACTGTTGTTACAGCACTTTGCTTTTTTGGTTTTTTAATAATAGCACAGAGCTCCAGTGCTCATGTTTATGGGGCTGCTGGTACATTGTGAACTTAAAACGTGTACGTAATAGACAGCTGTCTCCATGGGAAGCCTTTGAATTGGCACTTGACATGTTCCCTGAATCCAGACTGAACTACTGCACTTCCTAAGTTGTCAGTGGTTGTTTAGTTTGTTTATTTTTCTTGTTCTACTTAGCAGGTAATACATGTTACATAGGTGTGTTTTGTCAGAGGGGCAGGAAATGTAACTTCTGGTAGCATTGCTGCTTCTTGCCCTCTGGCTGGACACCTATGTCCTGTTTTGGTTCTGAGTAGGTATAAGGGATTTTGTTGCTCACCCTGTGGAAGTGTTGTGTGCAAAGATGACTTCTGTTTTACAGTTTTTCTTGAACTGAAGAAAGCCAGGATTGATATCACTCAAACTGTTTGGCAGTTTTTATGCCACAAAATGTTTGTGCCTTTTGGCAAGACTCTAGTTGTTACCTTGCATAATAAAAGCCTAGTGATAATGGAATGATGATGTAATGATACAACCTGCTTCAGGAATTGTGGCACTGGCACCTTTTTTCAGACTTCTGATGATTGTCAGTGGCTCCAGCTAGATAGTCCAATATTATGAGCATTGTTCAAGTTACTGTAAAACAAATTGGAATCTTGCTAGGCAAGCTCATTCTGTCAGCTTCCCTTTGGAAGTCAGTGTCTGATCTGAGTACATTTGTGCCTTGGCTGTAGTTGGTCCCCAAACAGCTCAGCTGGCCCCAGGTGTCCCTTACTGGTAAGGAACTGACTGTGCCTTGTCCAAGTAGGAATTGTTCATGCAGAGAGGATGAGTGGATCGTGCACAGATGGGATTAGCCATAGCTGAGGACAAACTAGAACATGCTCATGAGCCACCAGCTTACTCATAGTTCTCCCAAAATCAAGGATGACAGTCTTTGATCAGCCTTCTGTGGCAAGCTTTGTACTAGCAGAGATGACCTTGTTTTGCATATTTGGTTAAATTACTGAATGTTCCTGATATTTTTTCTCAAAAATACAAGATGTCCTTAACTGTAGTTTGGAAAGAAAATCGAGTTGTACTGTTCTGCCTGTGATCCCGAAACTGCTTTATTTCACACTCGAAAGCAATGATTATGTTCCTTCAAATGCAAGTTGCTTTTGACAACAGATTTCAATTTCAAAGATGATAATTCACTGCAGAAGGTTTTTCATAGAGCAGGACTGTTCCAACATGGCAAAGAATAAGTTAGGCTTTCTCTTTGATATTGCAGCTAGAGCTTCTGTGGCTGTACTGTCCTCAGTGGGATTGTAGGTGGGAATTCAGTGTGCTTTGGGAAAATTCTGCCGTTGCAACCTAAACTAGAACTCTCACAGTCTCCTTGAAGAGGGCAGGTTAGCTGTGCCCAGAGAAATTCACAGTGGTGCAGTGTAGCTCAGGGTGTTCTAAGGAGAAGGGTTGTCTGACTGTCCCTGTGATTGCTGCAGACGCATCCTGCACTCCAAAGGAGAACTCAGCGAGGATCGGCACAAGCAATATGAGGAATTTGCAATGTCCTATCAGAAGCTGTTGGCAAATTCTCAGTCTCTGGCTGATCTTTTGGATGAAAACATGCCTGATCTTCCCCAGGAGAAACCAACACCCGAGGGTAAGCCACATTTGTAAGCAAGTAAACAGAAGGCTGGACTTGGCTTGGATATGCTGGGAAAGCTAACCAAACCCTCTGACTGCTGTGTTCTCTCTGCTGGGTTTGTTCCAGTTAGGCTTTCCCCCAAAGGATATCAGTGAATGAATAATACTTGGGGTTTTTAATTAAAGTAATTAAGCCAAACACGTAACCATAACTATTGTATGTACTGTGTAGTTGTGGTAATGGAAGTCACATCTCTTTAGATTTATTTCAGGTAATGCAGTAATAAATTGAAATTTAGAATATTTTTAAGCCAATCCTTTCTATTTAATAAATGCAGTTTTTAATGTTTAAAAGGTCTTAGAGTTTTAAAAGCTGATATTGTTCAAAAATAGGTTTGAAGTCTATTTTGGGGCCATGATGTTATGAGCAGGAACATGTTGTTAAGCCAGATAAGTCACTAGGTGTGGCTGTCTGACCTCCTGTACAGCTTGGAGCTGGCACAGCTATTCAGTGCCTGTAACTCCGAAGTTTGAGGTTCATTGGGATGTTGTTGAAGTCATGAGAGTATCCTTTGTCTGAAATGATCCTGAGCTTAAAAAAGTTGGTTTTTGAATGCCTCTAAATTTAAAATTATTCTTTTTTAACTTTGTTCTTAAAATTCAGCAGGTACAGTTCACCATGCTCAAGGTGATTACTTTTCATGCTGATGTCATTCAAGTCTGTTGTAGCTTTCTAATACTACATAATGTGCTGCTTGATTGTACTTGATTTGACTTTCACTCTGATACTGTGTATTTTCAATCAAAGTCAAATACACAATTTGAAGGTAATTTACTGATATATCTGATATTAAGGCTGGATTGTTACAAGCACTTTAGAGTGCAATATCTAGGTGAAAACAGTGGTGGTAATAAATAGCTTTCCATGTTTCTCAAGTGACTCTTAGGTGTCTCCCTTTAGAAGATTAGAAATTTGTGCGAAAACTTTCTTACGGTTTCACTGTTTTTGCAGAACATGGACCTGGTATTGATATCTTCACACCAGGAAAGCCTGGAGAATATGACCTGGAAGGAGGTATCTGGGAAGATGAAGATGCTAGAAACTTCTATGAGAATCTCATCGACTTGAAGGCTTTTGTGCCAGCAATTTTGTTTAAAGATAATGAAAGATGTTCCCAGAGCAAGGATTCCAGCAAAGATGAATCAAGAGGTAGGATGCTTAGATGAGTATTTTTTTAACCTATCTTGTCCAACAGATAGACAAATGTGATGGAAGTGATGAGTTTCTAATGAAATAATTTGTGATCAGGACAGTACACCACTATGGATGAATTTTTAGAGAATAAACTTTGTGGGATAGGGATTATATCTGGGTGTGGTATTTAAGGAAAAAAGTAAATGCATTTTAATATTGATAGAATTGTAAATTCAAAGTAATTGGAGATTAACCAGTGTGAGTAAGTACTAACTTTTCTATGGGAAACCTGAGAGTTTCCCTTCTTGGAAAGATGTGTTTATTTTTTCCAGTTAGCCATTAACACTTTAGTACAAAAATGACTTGCTCAGTATATAATTCCAGTCAATGAAAGACCTGGGAGGTTCCTCACTTCTGGCACAGCCCTTAGCTCTTTCCAGTTTTCAGGTGTGAGTCCAAGTTATATGAAGGAATTCAAACCACTGTGACCTAACAGATGAGACAGGATAGTCTCAAGTAGTAGATATTCTTTGCCCTATTTCTTTTTAACACGATTAAGACACTGAAGAGATGTAGGTTTAGCAGGATTATTCTTCCTGTATTCTAATCATGGCTGTGTATACTTAACAATATAATATTTCTATTTAACTTTTAAATAGATTCAAAAGATGCCAAAGATAATAAGGAGGTACCTGGGAGTGAGGATCTGGAGTTGGAGCTGGAGAACCTGGATATTAATGATGATCCACTGGAGTTAGACTGTGGGGATGAGGCAGAAGATCTTACAAAGAAGCTTCTTGATGAGCAAGGTAAAAACAGTTGGTATTAAGAATTCTTTTTCTTGATGGTTTGTTTCTTTTGAGCTTGATGGTTTTTAGTCTGCAGATCAAGTGCCTTCAGGGAGAATGATTTATTCATTTATTTATGAAGCTATTAGCTAGAAACTCTTAGGATTGTGGTCAAAAATGTACCAGGTCAGGTACTACAAAAGAGCTTTTCCACTTGGAAAGGATCCACATACTGCGATAAGAAAATAGAGTGTGAGAATATCTGTAGCATTCCAGTGGATGAGAGAACCAGTGAAAGAAGATACAGGTTTGGGGAACTGTTGGAATTGAATGTGATAGCAGAGCCTCTTGAAACATTGTCCTGAAAAGTGACTGAATTATCAAAGACTTACTTTTTAAATTTATTTCAAGAGCACTGAATCAGTTTCAGTAGAAGACTGAGGCGAGACAGCTAATTGCTGTAGGCGAAGAGGAAGGAGACAGGAAGGTGTGGCTACAAATACTTAAATGGAAAAATGAATTAAAACAGAATTTGCAAATTGATGTGTTTGAGCTGTTGTGTGTGTTAGTGAACGCTGAGTGTGTGGGTGATGAGAGTCAGGATTTTATTAAGCATTTAAATCTTCATGGTCCTCCTTTGAACACCTGGAACATTTTCCTTTTCTTGTTTTTACTGCTTCCTTAGTGAACCCTTGTCTCTTTCTGACTTCTGGTTGCCTGTGCCAGATGAGGTGATGTCACCTGCTTTAATCTCTAGCCCCTCTAGGCTGGGGAGCTGGCAGAGCTGACTGCTCCTTGGAGCAATTCTTAGTGTTTTTCTGCCTAAGCTCAACCCCTGCCTCCAGGAGGTTCCAAAAGGAAGGAAAAAAGTCCTGCAGTGTAGCATCTTTGTTACCTCTTCTTGCAGTAACTTGAAAAAGGAACTTGCAACTTACAAGATGAGAGTTTATCTTACTGTGTGACTTTACCAGGCGTTGGGTATATTGTCATTTACCAGCACCATATTCTCCTCTTTGAAGTCTGTCTGTTTCCATTTTCCTTTCAGATACCTCCTAGTTATTCTTGTTACTGCTGAGTATCCTCAAACTGGAAAAGGGACATGAAGTTTGGTTTTCTTTCAGTTTGAGGATGCTCAGCATTCTTTTCTGTTGCTTTGGCCAAGGAAAGGTCCTTTCCGAGTGTTGGTGTTACAACTCACTATTGTGCTGTAGAGCAAACTAAACTCTTCTCTAGGACTCAGTAAAATTGGGATATTTTTGAAGCATACCACAAGTTTTGCAATTGGAAGGTAACTGCAGGGGAATTGGTCTGGTCAGGTCTTGTAGTTGATATCAGAAAATCAGAATTTTGTTTTCATATTTACATCTTTTTTTGAATCTGTGGGTATTTAACAGCTAAACCTGACAAATGCACTGTGTTTGGGGAATGTGGGGAATGTCAGTCATTCTGTCAGAACTTAAAGCTGTGTGCTGCCTGTTTATTTCACTCCCTCAGAACAAGAGGATGAAGAAGCCAGTACTGGATCTCATCTAAAACTGATAGTAGATGCTTTTCTTCAGCAGCTTCCAAATTGTGTCAACAGAGACCTCATAGACAAGGTACAGTCATAGTTTTAATTTTTTTCCACTCTTGAAAGTTAAAATACTACATCAAATAGATGGGAAAGAAAGATTTGAAGCTTTGGAGTCTATCAGTAGCTGAATTAATTTTTAATCAGTCTCTATTCCTGTTACTGGACATGTTTTCCAGCTATGACAGTTCCAGTCAAAGCTGAAGATTTTTGGTTATGGTTGTTTTGAAAGCAGCTGCATGTGGTAGAACAGCTCTGTAAAGCTACTTTTGAGAAGCATATTCTGTTTTAAATTGCTTTAAATGTAACCCCACTGCTTTAAAGGGAAAGTATTGCATTGACTTTTCTCTTTACAGGCAGCAATGGATTTTTGCATGAATATGAACACAAAAGCCAACAGAAGAAAACTGGTACGAGCACTTTTCATAGTTCCTAGACAAAGGTAAGCACTGAAAGTGAACAAATTCAACTCACCCTTTGGTTATTTAATTTCACATATGTTTGTATTTTTAAAAACCAGTGTGTACTCTAAGTTGCATTTGTTTATTCCTGATGTGCACTTGTGGAGTAGTTTATGCTGGAGCAGATTTCCTGCACTTAGGGGAAGAGCCTTGCTTCCAGAAATGGTGGCAAACATTAAAATAGAAACATTGGATTCATTGGGAAAATAATATATTTCTCAACTCTCTGGTAAAATAGGTGAAATGACGAAGTCAATTTTCTACCCCACTTTGCCCAGTTTCTCATGAGAGGTTGTTTTGATTCTGCTCTTAAAGTGTTTCATGATGACCTTGGAATTCTTGTTAGAGTTCACACTGCTTTGATTCCATTCCCTTTCAACTCTGTGGGGGAAAAATACGTAGCTTGAGTGTCTGTTTTGTCTCTGTACATATGTAGACTACTGCTTTGAATAAACACATTGGTGTTTTGTTTTCCTTACGTTTAATCACTAGCCTGTGTCTGCATCCCATCTGTACTAAGCATCTGCTGTGCTAATAACCTTTCTCTTAGCTGTGTGTAAACCAGTGGGTTGTTTGCTGAGTGTAGGCATTAACCTGACCCTACGTTGAAACTAGTTTTTGCAATTAGAAGTGCACATAGTCATTAATTCTCTTCTGTATCCTTGTCTCTAAAAGTTATGGGTTTGACCCCTCAGTCGTTGGAGGCTTTGATACAGGTCTGGTTGTGCATCCTGTTTGAATGGCAGGCAGTTAGGTATCTTCTGTGTTAGGTGTTACAAGGTTCTATTCAGTCCAAACTTAGGTTGTAGGGGGAATAACCTCTGTTTATCAGCTGCTGGTAATCATGAAGTACATCAAAACACAATTGGAGAAGAAATTTTTTCACAGCCTAAAACACCTACAGCAATGTTAGTCAGCAGGACCACTTGACTTTTGTCTTCAGCTCTACCATAATACAGAGTTTTTTTGTTGCAAAATGGCAGTGAGTTGTTGGCTGTTCTGTCACCATCCAATGTTGGTACCACTGCCCTGTGTTTCTTCCTGGTGCTGTAGGTTCCAGATAGCTCAAACTGATCGTTAGCTCTTGGAACCTCTTTGAAGATCCATGATTTTCTTTGTATAATCTGCTAAAGTGTGCTAGGTGGTGACCTGGAAGAACTTGTAGATGTTGTGCACAGCAAACAGAGGTACTTTCAAACAAGAGCAGGATGATGGCTTGTAAATTCAGCAGTGTGAGTTCATAGAGGGCATGAAAACAAAGCTAAATTCATAATGTATTAGAGTATTTAAAAAGTGTCTTTGAGAGTGGACTAGGAACATGGTTAAGTCCTGGAAGTGTATATAGTGTCTGCATTGCCAGTGGTTTGTTGTCTTCCCAGTGGTAGTTCCATTATCCTACAAATTTGTTTTAAAAATAGTAGTTCAAAAGATGATTAACTTCCTTGTAGGAACTCAATAGACTAGTGGATTGTGGAGTTGGCTCAAGGAGCTGCTACCTTCATTGTGCTTCTGGTCTCTAAAGCTGCAGCTGGTCTGACACCCACTGGACTAATGGAAACTCCAGCTCCCAAATGTAAGGTCTTAAGTTCAGTTGTATATATCTGCCTGTTCCTTTGCCTGGGCTACTCAGCAGGGAAACAGGATGTTGGCTGAGCTGCTTGTTCTGACCCACAGGCAGTTGCTGTGTAAATAGCAGCTGAGCTGCCCATAGGTGCAGAGGATTTGAAAGGACAATCTATCCTAATATTTAAGTTAGCTGTATTGCTGCCATTGGTAAAGGAGCAGTTCCACTGTCTGTCTTGACATCAACATTTATAATTCTTGTGGAAAAAGCTCCAGGTGTTTGTATGGCAAACAGTAGTAATGGTTGCTGTAAAGTGCTGCAAATTGATGTAGAAAATTCTCTAACACACTGCTTGAAGGTTTTGTGTTCTGTGTGCCTCTTCACTGAGCCTTAATGGTATGTTTTTACCTTCCATTATTGTTGTTGCATACTAGTTTATGCAAAATCCAGGAATTTCTACAGCATGTCTCCAGGATACTGTGGGAGAAGAAAGCTTGTTATGGTTATGTTTTTGAGGAAGGGTTTTGTAAAGGTTCAGAGGAACAATGTCCCAGGGTGCAGACAAAGCAGGATATTGCTGGAAGCCTTGAGCAACCTGATCTAGTGAGGAGGTGTCCCTGCCCAGGGCAGGGAGTTGGGGCTAGATGATCTGTAAGGTCCATTTCAACCCTTCAATTCTGTGATTCTATGATATTTTCCAAAAGCATAAGTTTCCAAGCTTATCAGCTAATGTCAAGTCTGGCTGTTTCCTTGGCAGCTATAATGAAATATTTCAATAACAGAATAAGTTCTGTTTCTTCTCCTGAGATCAGTTAGGGGAAACATGCAGTCATGACACTTCTACCAAAAGTATAACTATGCTAGTATGCAAGTGGCTTTCAGATTTGCATTGGAGGATTGATCTAAACCTAAATATTAGCCTTTGCGTTCAGCACTGCAGACAGTGATTTAACCCATACTGCTCACAGCTTTAGGACCCTTTTCTGTCATTCTTTGCTAACTGAATTATGTTTCTGTACAGATATACATAATTATTTAGGTTTGACTGCATACTATAATCTTGTTGAATTTTTTCGACTTCAGTATGAAAAATTTGAAATCTCTTTCTGAAGCCTTAAATTCTAAACAGTTCTGCACAAATGCTAAGCAGTAAATAGGGGCTGTTGTGACTTCTGATTTTTTTTGCCATTCCCATCTGTAGTGACCCGTGAAGCACCAGATTTGCTAAGCAAGAGATCAGTTGTTCATATGGACATTTTTAGCATTGTTGCTGGCTATTCTTAATTCAGAAGTTAGCTGCTACTTAAGTGTTAAATAGTTCTACACATTTTAACTCAGAAGTTGGAAAGCTTCTGTCTATCTACCCTCTTTCAGCACTTTATCCTGAGAGTTCACAGTAGCAAACTCCTTCTTGTCCAATTGAACTTGATTTATCATCTCTGTGGCCTGTCTCCTTGGAGGATGAAATTGAGGGATGTTCTTGAGATCAAGGAGTTTATGCCATGGCAAAGAAACAAAAGCAAGAAGTGTTTCCTCGGTAGCATGCCAGTTCCACAGCTTCCTTCTATTCCCACTGCACAGTGTGGGTGGCACTTGGTACCTGTTCAGGTCCTGTGAATACACTGCTTTTATCTGGAGTGTCATTATGCTTGTGAGGCAGCAGTTCCTGCTCTGTTGCTTCATTATTTAAGCTGTCTGTCTTATAGAATCCCAGAAATTAAGAGCTATACAAAATGCCCCTTCACTCTTCCTGGGTATAAAATTTTGGAAGCATCCATTTTAGAGAGTTTGCTCTTAGGACTTCAGTTGAGAAGAGTTTTCGTGTGGATTGTGGGTTTTTTTGTGCAGCTTGCTTATTTGTCTTTATAAACATTTGAAACTCTACAAAACAGATATGCTCTTAGATATTTCACCAAAGTGCTGTTCATGTGATGCTGAGATCCAGAGTTGAGTAAGTTTCAACCCAAGGCCTGTGGTCAAAAAGAAATGGTCAGAAGTAGTGGGTTTCTACTATGGCAGTGGATGTTCAGGGTCCTTAACATAAGCTTCTGAGAGTAACTGGCTCGTCCCTGATGCCAGGTCTTGCTTTGTCCTGTAGAAGAGCAGGAAGAGAAAGCAATACTGTGGGGCTTGTGGTGTATTTAGCAAATTTCTTCCCTGCTTCTCAAAAAGAGCTTTTGGAGGCACTGCAGGTACCAGTAGATGGTGCCACTGATACTGCAATGTCTCCACTGCTGAATGCGAATTTTTGTCTCCCCTGAGAGGGAACTGATTCAATCCCTGATTGCCAATTTCAGGGTAATTGACCCAAGGCTTTTCCTTATTATATTTCACCTATTTAGAAATACCTAGTCCTAGTGTGCCTCCCCATGAAGAAACCTTTTGTGTCCTGTGAGGGAGTAATAACAATGTGCTCTAAGTTATTTTCCCCCAGGTATGTTCAGTTTACAGAGATGGAATTATTAGCTCTCAGCAAGCAATTGCTTGTTCAGACCAGAATAAAACTTTCTGGTATTTACCTTAAAAGAGATGCCATAGAGAAGTCCCCTCAATTAAAATACAGCCCCTCAGTTCAGCCACTGTCCTTTAGTTTAACTTTTCTATGTGTGTGTGAAGTGAGGAGACTTTCACTTCTCTGAAAGTTAATGGCTAAATGCTTAATAACATGGTAGTAATTTGCTGTGGGTAGTCAGCCTTGACTGTGTGTTCCAACAAGCCTGAAAAATGTAAATACTGCTTCAGTTATTGATTAACAGAAGAGATAAAAACTGTTAAATAGATAACTGAGCTGCCTGCAATGTTTCACCAGCAGTTTTATGAGTTATCAGGAGGCTGCTCAGCTATGTCTCTTTCAGGGAGTATATCCTAATGCTTCTAAGCCACAGTTTTAATACATAATTGTCTCTTTTTCTGTAAGTGGATATTAAACACCTTGGAAATGTGCCCTGGTGACATAGTGGGAGAAGGGAGGCAACCACAAATGCTTTGTTTTGGGGTTTTTGTCTCGGTGCTTTTCCAGTTTCACTTTGTGCCAGGACAAGCTCTGTGTATTGCCTGTGCCTTTGGATTGCTTTTGGCAGCATTTCTTTCTTTTCCTTTTTCTTCTTCTTTCCTTAGCAGTAGGGAAAATCTTAATCCTTCATAAACAGAAACTCAAAATCCATTTTTCCCTTACAGGCAATTTCTTACTTGTAGCCTGCAAATTCAGGATGTTTCTCTCCACTTAAAAACTTAGGCTTGTTCTGCTGCTCATCTGCTTATTGCATTAATTTAGCATTCTGAAAATAAACCAAATGTGATTTCTTCAGCTTGTTAAGTGATACTGCAAGGCCTCGGAGTGCAGTTGGTTTCTCTGCATGAACAAGTGGTACATGCACACAGCTGATTTGCATAAATGTGCAAATTAAATGGGTATGAAGGCATGTGATCAAGGAAGAGAAAAGCAAATAAGGAAATTTCTATGGAAAACTTGGAAATATTAGCATTTGTGGTAGTACATGCTGGGTGTTGGGGGAGAGGGTGGCCACATCACATCTGCTGAACTTGGTTTTATGTGAGAACTGCTATATTCCCTTAGAAATTTCCCACCTTAAAACTCAACATGTTCCTACTTTCCTGGTTGTGTCTGCTGCTGGTAGAAAAAATGTAACTAAAATCTTGCAATAACCAATGGAATTGTCTGTAAGAATTTTTTGGTTTGCGTGTTGAGAGGGATCTGAATTTTCTTTGTCTGGTAATTTATGAAAGGTCACATTCTGTAGTTAAGATGGTATTTGGCATTTTACCTAAGGCAACAGCTCTGAAAGAAAATTAACTGTGAAGGATTCCAAAAGGATGTGGTAGTTTACCTTCTTGTATTATTGTTTTTAAATGATATTGCAATGTGAAGTGAACCCAAAAAATTGCGTGTATGTTGTCCTGTCAGTATATGCACATTCTTTCTTTTCGCATACTTGTAGACATGCATATTCTTTTGTCTATAAATTGTCTTTTTTATCCTTTCCTTTGTTTGCAGGTTGGATTTGCTACCATTTTATGCAAGACTGGTTGCCACGTTGCATCCCTGTATGTCTGATGTGGCAGAGGATCTCTGTTCCATGCTGAAAGGGGATTTCAGGTTTCATGTATGTTTCAGTGATTTAGGTTTTTTGCATTCAGATTAACCAATGTAATAAATCAACCTTTGGTGGAAAAACCCAAAACACTTGGTATTATGGAGATGCTTATTCTGAAAGTCAGTGAATATTTTTCTGTCATCTGTGCAGAATTTGTCTAGAATACTAGATTTGTACATTTTTCACCAATCAAAATTTTTTACACCTCACATACATATTTTTCAGTGTTTCTTTTCTTTTGTTCTAGATTTTGTAATCAAATTGGTCATGGTGCACAATGAGATTTCAGTCACTGTTTTCTGAGTTTTGTGGCACAGATTTTTGTTTTGGCAAGAAATTTGTGCTTTGGTGGTAAAATTATGCTGATGTCAGTAATGTTATAAAACAAAATCAAAGAGGAAGGAGTCTGCACTTTATTAAATCTGACTTGAAAAAGCCATCATCAGTCTTTAATGTTTCCTCAGGGACTATGCAAGTGTCCTTTTCATGTAAAGACTGCTTATTAATTCTGAAAATAGAGAATCTAGCATGCCTAATCACTACTGCCCTGTGGGAGAGGAGGGAGGTGTCTACAACTGTAGGCATCTTAGAGGAACCAGTTGATTTTTGGGGTGGGGAGATGGGGGAAAAAAATTCTGCAGGAACAAGGTTGTAGAGTAACTTACAGGAAACCCAGTAATAGGTAAAGGTAGAGCTTAACAACCCAACGAATATCAAACACTACTAAATTCCCAAGCTTGTTATGCTTGTGCAGGTCAAAATAATTTCTAAGAGATGAGGATTTCTGAGGGCCTTAAAATCAAGTAATATAATTTTTGTTTTAGGTAAGAAAAAAGGACCAGATCAACATCGAAACAAAGAATAAAACCGTGAGGTTTATTGGTGAGCTTACCAAGTTTAAGATGTTCTCCAAAAATGATACTCTGCACTGCTTAAAGGTTGGTGTGGTGATTCTCCTGTATTTATGCAATGCCGCTCATGTGTCCCCATCCTGTTCCCCTCACAGACCTATTGCTGATGTGATCTGAATTCATTGCTTATGATGTTTTAAACCATCATATCTGTTGCTGCTGTGTACAAGGAGACTTCTAGAGGTATTAGAGAAGTTAGAATGTTTTAATTTTCCTAATGATAGGAATATATTTCACTTTTGGGCATAACCGAACGGTGAATATATCTGTCTGAAAGGTGATGGGAGACATTGCTGCCTAGTCATCTGCTGTGCATTGCAAAACTTGCAGTATGTTGATTTCAGTTAGTATTTTACACAGAAAATAACAGTAAGGGAAAGGGATTAGGGGCAAGAAGCTTTTCAGTGGTGCAAGGAGAGGCTTTTATGCCATTTCAGCTTTTGTTTGTTGAGGAACAAAACAAACCTTTGGAACACATTAATCTCAGTTTGCTGATAAACATTCAAACTTATCTTTGACGTCAAATCTCAAATTAAAATGGGTTTTAAAAACTAAAAGTATGTTTAATAAAAGGTGCTTGAAGACTCACATAGCTTAAGATCAATTTCTGTGTGAATAGTTACTATTCATTGACTCGTTAGCTATCAAAACTGAATTCTTAAAGAATTTCAATCACTCATCGGTTCTCTCATCTATAAAATACTGTTAACAGCAAAGCTCTATTAATTCATAGTCATTGCTTAACTTAAAACAGGTAAGTTATTAGGTGTGCTCTGAGGTTGTTGTGTCCTTGTACCCTTTTATTTGGTGGTTTTTCAGCCTAGCAACAGGAATCTTATGCCCAGGTGGAATTGGTATGGGTGAGATTATACTGTTTCTTTTCATATTGTCATCTTTTTATGCTAGTCTTTGGAAGCATCCTGTTTTTCTGGTTTCTGGAGCCTAAATTTGGTGTCTATAGACTGTTCTCATAAGAGTTTTAAAATGAGATTAATCTTTTGAGTATTTATAGAATCACAGAATGGATAGAGTTGGAAGGAACCATAAAGATCATCTGGTTCCACTCCCTGTCATGGGTAGAGACTATTGTCATCTTTTTATGCTAGTCTTTGGAAGCATCCTGTTTTTCTGGTTTCTGGAGCCTAAATTTGGTGTCTATAGACTGTTCTCATAAGAGTTTTAAAATGAGATTAATCTTTTGAGTATTTATAGAATCACAGAATGGATAGAGTTGGAAGGAACCATAAAGATCATCTGGTTCCACTCCCTGTCATGGGTAGAGACACTTTACTTTCACCCTTAACATCTGACCAGAGAAATCAGTTTGCATTTGGTTCATAAAGAATTCAGACCACCACAGTAGTGTAAAATCTGGTAGATATAACTTAATGTTTCCTGCGGTTGAAAAAGATGTTTAACATGCTGTGTTTTTATATAAATATATACCAGATGCTTCTGTCAGACTTCTCTCATCACCATATTGAAATGGCATGTACCCTGCTGGAAACCTGTGGAAGATTCCTCTTTAGATCACCAGAATCTCACCTAAGAACCAGTGTTCTTTTGGTAAGAGAAAACTCATTGTCCTATGGGGGAGGGTGGCATGCACTGACTTGAAGCAATTGCTTCTTTTTGAAACTATTCTGGAGAACTCCAGTTGACCTAAAAATCTGTTCATGGCTTGAAAGAAAATGTGAAACAAAAGAATTAAATCTCTGAAGCAAAAAGCTATTGCTTTTGAACTAGTAATGATTCAGAGATAGGACAAAACCAGAGGACGAAGTTGAAATAATATAGTAGCTGTACCTGAATATGCCTGAGATACTACTTGAGGGGGAAAATCATAATGAATGGAACCAGGCATGGTAAGATGCTTCAGCTGGGGGTGAAGACAGTTGTGAAAGAGGTGGTTTCTATGCCCTGTGTAACAATTTGGGGTTGTAAATGTGAAGAACAAATTTATGAAGACACTAGAGGAAGCAGTTTTAGAAACAGAGAGTGGGAATGAAGGTAAGGGTAGGACTGAGATCCCTAAGTCTACATAAGTACTCGCAAAGACTTTGAAATAACAAGAATTGGCTTTGGGTATTTTTTTAGTGGATGAATTTGAGCCCTGAATAATGTGTTTACTGCCTTGAGAGACAATCTGAAAACTTTGTGTCCAAGGCAAGAGACCAAGTCAAACATCACTGCAGACCTTCAGAGTTAGATATGAGCAATAGGAAATAGCATTCAATTAAAAGCAATTTAAGCAGATACAGAGCAACTAATAGATGTTGTATTAGAAGTCTGACTAGGTGTTTAAATCTGCACTGGAGGAAGAATGTAGACATGTGTATGTGCAGTAATAAAGTATCTGTGTTGGGGGAGAATCTAGAACATAGTTTGCCCTTCTGGAAAGGAATGGTTTAAGTGTTTGGATTCTCTTTCTAGAGACACAGCTCTTCAGCTGTGAAGTATCAGTGTCTCTGCTGTATTTGTCTCCTTTCTCACCAAAGCACTTGACATGCCTTTCTCTTCAGCCTACAGCCTCTCCTCTCATGCTGAGAGTTAATGGAGAAGCAGTTGTTGCATACTTGGGTATATTGCACAATTTCTTTTTCACAAAATACTGTTTTTTCTGCATCTCTGTGAATGTCACAGCATCTGTTGAGGTGATGTAGTCACAAGAGGAAAGAGGTGGGAAAATTAACTGCAAGTTTTTGGTCCTGCTTTTTGTAGCAATGTACTTTGTATCTTGAAAGGTTTGAATCTTCTAAAGGTTTGCCAGATGATGTGTTTTGTTGTTAAATGTGTTCCTTTCCAAATTCAAGCATTTTTCCCTGAATACACTGTTCCATTATCTTTAAAAGGCGTTTTACTCATTGCTACCATTTCTTGGTAGTTAATAAAAACTTTAGAAGTTGGGAAAAATTAAATACCTTTACCAGAGCTGTTCTTTGTAACTGAATGCTTTTGGCCTTACACGATAGAAAAATCCTGATTGTTAGCTGGATTGCTGGAATCTGCTGGATGAATGCTAAATGTGGCTTAACTGTGAAGTGCAAGACAAACCACAACACTGTTTGAATAACTGAGGCTTAAAACCTCCCAGGGTTTTGGATAAGTAGACTTTTCTTATGCCTTGAGGAACCAGGAGAAGATGAAGATGGCAAAGAAGTTTGGAATATCTAGTTATTGAGATGTAAAATAGGTTAAATAGATTCATATTCTCCAACCATTAATAACTGCATCTTCTAACAGTGCCCTAAACAAACTGTAGAGATTAATTTCGGCTTAAATAGTCTTAGACAAATTGGATCATAGTCTTATGGTACCAGTTAGTGTGAACTGTAGAAAAGATTAGTCCCAAAGCAAGCTAATTACAATCTTGTGGTAAAAATCTAAGCAAATGTACAGCTGATCTTCTCAATGACTCTTATGGGGAGAATTAAAGCCTGTTGATCTTCCAAATCATTATTGGTCTTAGTCTTTACTGCTGCTGATACATTATGTGGTAAGATGCCAAACAGGCTGCATGTTCCCTGTTAAAGACAGTAGTGCTTTGTCCTGGTGTGCAAGAAAGTCATAGTTAAGAGTGGATTTTGAAAGTAATTAAGAGAAAATCAGTTGATAAGTAAAGTGATCTCTAGGAGTGCTGCAGGCTTAGTGGCACTAAGTGACTTATTCCAGAGGAACATTTAGGGATCATATCCTGGTTTTGTAGGACTCCTGGCATGTTTTGCAAATGATATGGAGATTCTTCTCTTATCAGGACAGTGTTTGTTTCTGCTAATTGTTCTTCATGACAAATCTTTCAATTCAGTGGCCTTTATGTTATTTAAAATAATAACATAAAAGTAACTTGGCTTTAGAATTGGATTATTTGGATTGGAGCTTTGAGGGGAACATCAGCTTTATCTTGCTCTATGGTTTTGTAACATAATCATGTTAAAAGTATCAAATTCTTGTGTTAGGCTGTTGTCCTGTTAAAAGACTATTTGAAGTTTTGGTATTAAAAGCCTTCTGATGCTTTTTTAATCATGTAACTTAGACATTTTGGGTTAAGCTTTAGGGCAAGATCACTAATTTATAAATATACAGAACTTAAGCTACGCAGTGGTTTCGTTCTTGGGGTGACTCCTTTCATAGATGGGGTTGGAATGGTGGGAGATGTTTGTACGGAGGCTGTGGCAGGGGAAATGCAGTTGATGTAGAGTGTGTCAATTCACTACAATTATGTGCTGCCAAGAAATTACAACTTGTCCTTTTGAAATGCTGGAACAAGTAGCAGGGCAGAACAGTGTAGGTAGTAAAGGGAAGGAGGAGGAGCTGAACAGTTCGTGTCTTATCCTCTGAAAATTTAAGTGTCAGTTCATGCTGAAATACTTTCCTGAATTGGACTTCTCATGGTGCTGAGGTTTTGGTTAGTGACTTTTCTCTCTTCTTTTTTTCCTAATGTTTCTTTTGAAATACATCTGCATGCGGAGAGGTTTGTTACTCACTAAGAAAAAACCCAGTTTTACTGTTTTAACTTGGCCACTTTAATGTTGTTTGTGATCTTTTGCTATCAAAGGAAAACCAGAAACCTAATCTTTAAATGTAATGTGGTTTTTCACCACATAAAACGATTTATTGACTCAATTGCATCTGTTAAGCACCTGCAGGAAAATGTGCTGCACCTTAACAGAAATTTCCCTTTTGGAAAGGAAGAGTCTCAGTTAGGGAATCAAAGGAGAGGCCGTTTGTGTCATGGAAAATGTTAAAAATGAAATGCCTTAGGGTTGGTGTTGGTTCAGGACCTTCCTGGTGGTAGATGAACACAACCCAGGAACAAAATGGCATGCTTTGTTGGATTACAAAGTGGCACAAAACTTCTCTTCCTCATTGAATCAGCAGCTGAAACTCAAGGTTAAGGAGCTGTTTGTCTCAGGGGAACTGAAACATTGCCTGGTAAAAGAAACTTTAAATTACTCAAGTTTAGTGGGAAGTCCACCAGGATGAAACGTGGTGCTTCTGCACCAGTGACCAAAGAAGGTTTAAACTCTTCTGGTTAGTTTACTCAACTCCATGAATATAGATACCAACAGTTGTGTGTGGTGGTAAAACAGTACAGGTTAATTGAGTTTATCTCTTTGAAGCTGTAATTTACCGTGTACCCAACCTCTAGTAAACAAAGTCTAAACAAATGTAGTTTATTTTCCTCTTGAACCACCTTAGAGTGATTTAGGGTACATGGGATCATGTGATGTATATAAAATACAACTTATAGCATTACACATATATACATATATGTACACAGATGTGAATAAAAAGTAATAGTGGAATTATCATCCTCATCTTTAACTGTAAAAACTTGCAGCTTTAGTTCTTATACAGAATTTTGAGAGAAATTAAACTTTAACTTACATATCCAAAATGAAGCATAGAGAAGAGATTTTATCCAGTGAGGAAAATTAGGACAATCCTGACAATTAAGCACAGTATTTAGTGTTGATGTAGTAACCTCTTACTTGTCTAATTTTTCATCCTGAAATACTACTTTAGGTACTGGGTTTTTGCAGTTGATTCTGCTTAGGTAAACAGCGACAATGGAGCATGGAATAAGGAAAATGCCATTGCCTAAACCTTTGGAAATTCATGTGGAACCATTGAAATAAACTGCTGGAGTTGCATACTGATGTAAAAAGTGGACTGCCAGTCTTATGATGATTCACTGTGCTTGTGTCAGGACAGCAGTATTTCAGCTGCTTTGGGTTAAATAAAATCTAGTTAAATAAAATAATGCTTTGAACAGAGATGCTAATAATCTTATTAACCATTTACCTAAACAGTAACAGTTAGATTTTGAGTTAAACATTAAGTAATTCTCTGAAATCTTCAGCACAGGTGAACCATTATAAAAATAAGGATTGTGAAGTAAAATGACCATGGAAATAGAACCACAGAACCACAGATGTGCTTTGTCCTTTTTTTCCCCTCTACCCAAGCTCATAACTTAGTTTTCTGCAACCTTTCTGTTTCCTTTATCCCAAATGTAACTGTAAAAGACTTTGGCTTGAAAATGTAGTATGTCAGCATCTTTGACTCATCATTTGCATTTATTTCCAGGAACAAATGATGAGGAAAAAACAAGCAATGCATCTTGATGCACGCTATGTTACAATGGTAGAAAATGCCTATTACTACTGTAATCCCCCTCCAGCTGAAAAAACTGTGAAGAAAAAACGTCCTCCTTTGCAGGAATACATCCGTAAGCTTCTTTACAAGGACCTCTCCAAGGTCACCACAGAGAAGGTAAATAATTTCAGAATCTTTAATGCTGCTCTTACGGAAAGTGATGCAGTCATAACTCTCAGAGGGTTTGGGGAGGGTTATAGTTCTTTCAGTTGCAAAGCAGAGGGATCATTTTTGTATCGCTGATGGAGATAGCTTCATTTCTTGTATCACAGCACATATTGAACCTGCATTCTCTGCAGCATGAAGTGCTGAATAGAGTGAGATGAGAATCTTTGTGCTCTGTATGTTGTGTTGGGAGAGTGAGAGACAAAAGGCTTCAGTTAAATACAGTGTGTTTGGGCAAGGAAGTTGTGGGACAGATAAGCACAGCAGTTGGCTTACAGGCATCAAGTTTTCCATAGCTACCACAGAGCTGGAAGTTGTTTGAAAAGGAGGAAGAGGAGGTTGCTTGCAGATGGTTCATGGGATTGCATCCCAACCATGTGACACGGGGGGTGACAATGAGCATCTGGATCTTTTACCTGCTAAAATGTGAAGCTTGTCTTAAAATTTGGTTTAGGTCCTGAGACAGATGCGCAAGCTGCCTTGGCAGGATGCAGAAGTAAAAGACTATGTTATTTGCTGTATGATCAACATCTGGAATGTCAAATATAATAGTATTCACTGTGTAGCCAACCTCTTAGCAGGGTTGGTCCTTTACCAGGAAGATGTCGGAATTCATGTTGTGGATGGAGTGCTGGAGGATATTCGACTAGGAATGGAGGTAAACAACCAATATTCTTGCCAAGCTACACTCATCTACTTATGTTGGAAGGAAAATTAATCTTGCTAAAAGAAAAGATTCTGTTTCTTGTCTTTTCTACCTTCATTTGTTTGCTTGATGTAGGTTTATTTGAATTAATAAAGCAACACACATACACCTCCCCAAAAAACCCACCTAACCCAAAAAAACCTAGAACCAAACTGCCAAGAGTACTAGGACAGTTATTTTTCCCCCTTATCACAGTAAGGGCATACAATTTACAGTGTAGACAGATTCATGCAGCGTTAATTAACTTTGGAGACTAGTCCATATTTTATTAGATGATCTGTAAGGTCCATTCCAACCCTTAAATCCTATGATTCTATTAGATGTTATAATTCCAAGAATTCTCTGGATAATGAAAAATCATCATAGATTTAAGATGGAGTGTATGCCAAATGTATTTGAACTTTATAATGGAGACTAGTCGACCAGCTTTCATAACTACTTCCTAAAGCTTATTTTTGTAGCCATAAATAACCATCTTGTAACCAAAGAAATTCAATTCATTTTTATATCCCTTTTTTCTTTGTAACATGTTTGTTGGGTTTGGTTGGTGTTTTTTTTAATATTCTATTGTGTCTGCACGATAAAGTGAATTTTCCTGTTGTTTTTTTTTATAAAGGTTAATCAACCAAAGTTTAACCAACGGCGGATCAGTAGTGCCAAGTTCTTGGGGGAACTGTACAACTACCGAATGGTGGAGTCAGCTGTGATATTTAGAACTCTCTATTCTTTCACATCATTTGGTGTGAACCCTGATGGTAGTCCTAGTCCCCTGGACCCTCCAGAACATCTCTTCAGAATCAGACTTGTCTGTACTATCCTCGATACATGTGGGCAATATTTTGACAGAGGATCCAGCAAGCGGAAACTCGATTGCTTCCTTGTATATTTTCAGGTATTCTAAGTTTTATAGAGTTCTCTAGAACAATTTAACAAGCTAATGTAAGTTAGGTACATATCTCTCTCCTTGTTTTCTAGCACTGTAGTTGTTAGAATCCTGCCTCTCTGGCAGCAGTTTCATTTTCAAGTGATTTGTATGTTGAGCTATAATATACCAAAATGATCGGGAGGCTCTCAGTGCTCACATTTTGGGTTTGCTCAGCTTGGAGAGGAGAATGTTATTTAGATTGCTGTCCTCAGTTAAGTTTTGATAGAGGAGGAGTCAGATATTTCTCAGGTATGCACAGGGAAAGGGTGAGAGAGAATGGCACAAAATGCAACAAGGAAAAGTTCTGGCTCAGTAGATGTAATGAAATGGGGGAAAATATTTCCTAATGACTGTGTTTAAACAGTGGAATGGGTTCCTTAGGAAATGGGGGATTCCAGACCATGGAATTGATACTAACACTCTTTGGATATAAATTTCTTTTTGAATTGACTTGAAGGAGGGGAAATTTAGGCTTGATACTAGGAAGAAGTTTTTTCCTGTGAGGGTGGTGAGACACTGGCACATGTTGCCCAGGAAGGCTGTGGTTGCCCCAACCCTAGCAGTGTTCAAAGCCAGGCTGGGTAAAGCCTTGAGCAACCTGCTCTGGTGGGAGGTGTCCCTGCCCAGGGCAGGGGTTGGGACTAGATGATCTCTAAGGTCCATTCCAACCCCTAAAATTCTATGATTATTTTTCTTTCTGCTTTTCTGTTTAAATTATGCTAAAAAACCACATTTTAAAAACCCAGAAACTGAGGTGATAAGTTATTTCAGACCTTCAGGATGTGTATCTTTCATCTGTATAGGAGATGTAAAATGTTTTGAGATACCATCACAGTGCTCTCATCACATAATGGTTTGGGTTGGAGGGGACCTTCAAGCTCAGCTGGTTCCAACCCTCTGCCATGGGCTGGGACACCTCCTCCTGGACCAGGTTGCCCAAAGTATGATACAGTCTGATTTTTAAATGTAAAAATAAACTTTTGGGGGAAGGCATCATTATATTTTTGTTACACCTTACAATTTCAATAAGCACTCCTTTTGATCATGTCACTTTTTAAGTAAAGATTCTGTTACTTCATTTTCAGATGTTTTTTTGCAGCATCTTTGTTCTCAGGTTCTGCTGTTAGGTTCACTTAAGATCAGCATTTGTTTTTCAGGGTCACTGTAAGGGGTGTACACAAACTTGTTATAAAGCAAACTGGAGAAGTCACTGGGAGCTAGCTGCAGTCTAAGGACTTTTTCTGATGTTTTCTCCCTCTTGTCCACGTCATATGCCTTTGGGGGGATTAATTTCCTTGAAAGTATGTGGGATAAGGAATTGAAAGTTATCTAACAATGTTTAGTGATATCAAAATATCTAATGGTTGTATGAAATAAGAGAGTAGTGGTGTGAAATCTTTGGTATTTTCTACTGCACACACATGGCTAGGCATTACGAACTCCATAGGTTCAATAGTTTATGAATCCCTCACTTGATTATTTTGTATTCTAGCGGTATGTGTGGTGGAAGAAAAGCCTGGATGTCTGGACAAAAGACCATCCTTTTCCTATAGACATAGACTATATGATCAGTGATACACTGGAACTGCTGAGACCAAAGATAAAGCTCTGCAATTCTCTGGAAGAAGCTGTCAGACAGGTGCAGGACTTGGAACGAGAATTCCTAATAAAATTAGGTAAGGAAATGTGCAGTTAGGTCTTTTTTTGACAATTCCTGTAGTTGTTAACATTTTCTCCTTATCATGATGATAGGTAACTGTTGTTACTGTCATGATGTGATTGTTCTGTTCTCATGATAGAATTACTTTTGAATAAAGATCATATGGAATCTCCACAACTCTAGAGTGACATGTTTTAAAAAAATCAATAGGAGTCCTGTTAAGAGTATTTGGAGGGCAAGAGTGTGTGTGTTTATGTTAATTTATAGAGTCACATGGTGCAAATGATTGGGAAGAAAACCATGAATTTAATCAGAAAACTGCAGGGAGCACACTCTAATTTCAGGATAAAAAGGCTGAGCTTGCAGCACAGCCCAGTTGACAAAATACTGGTTAGTGAGTATCTGAAACTACTATGTTCTTACTAACCTTTTGTATATATCAGTTCTTACTGAATATTGAATACTGCTGTGCTCATTACTTGCTAATTAGAGTTGTTTACAATACTGTCAGTCCTGTCTGCAAGGGGAATGAGCACACTAGATAGTACTTTTGGAAGAGACTCTCCTTTCCCAAAGACTTGATATAGGCACCTAGATCCTCACAGGTTCAAGTGCAGCCGTAGAGCATTGGAAGAGAGTCATAAAGGTTTGTTGCAGGCTAAGAAAATGGTGGGTTTAAAAGTGTTAACTGACAGTAGTCAATAGGCTGTAGGAGCTTGATGTCTTGTGGGTTCTGCTGGTTTAGTGAAGCATCTGTGATTCAGTGCTCGTGTTTCAGTAAGGCTCACATTTAGTTTGAGGATGTTTTGAAGCAGCTTGCACAGTGCAGCTGTTCTCTGGGAGATTTTAAACATTTTCTGTAATGTTCTCCTTTTCTGGCAGGGAAATTCTTACCCTGCATGAGTGAGGCAAAGTTATAGGGAATGTTTTGTTGAGAAGTCAAATATTATGACCCATAGGAAGTTTTAGTGTTCAGTGACAATGGACTTTTGAAGTGATAATCCACATGTAACTTGAGGGGCTAGATGTGTTCCAGCATCCTAAATCTTTCTCTCTTTCCAAATTTCAGGAATTGTGAATGACAAAGATTCCAAAGATTCCATCAATGAAGGAGAGAATCTGGAAGAGGATGAAGAGGAGGAAGAAGGTGGAGCAGAGACAGAGGAACAATCTGGAAATGAAAGTGAAGTGAATGAGCCAGAAGAAGAGGTGAACTTCACCATTTACCTTGTCTCATGTGAAAAAGAATGAGTAATCAATATTTTGGATAGTCATTACTTTCTGAAGTCTTTCTAAATCACAGAGTTATCAGGTGGAACATGGGTATGCACAGCCCAGGCAGTACTCTGAGGGTACTCCCATCCCAGTTTTGTAGATGTGGAAAACTGAACACAGTGTCTGAGGCTTATTGCAGAGAAATTATGGCAGAAACTTGAACCTGACAACATTGCTCAGGTTATGTGCTGCTGCTTAACCAAAAGATGCCTTCAGTTTTTTGGCATGAAAACACTTGGAGGTGATTTTCTTTATCTGTTGTAGAAGCAAATGTATTGACTAGATGTCAGAGCAGTCATGTAGGAAAAAGAACAGGTGTTCCAAGTATCCCTGTGTGATATGAATAAATATTTCTGGAGCATAAAAAACTTCCTTGTTTACTGTGCCAATAACATTCTGAATCAAAAATGGTGTAGCCAATAACAAAGAGACAAGTGCACAGAAATTTTAACTTGTCACTGTGACACAGCAAAGTTGACATGATAATGGTAGTGTTAGGAGAAAATGAGTTCATCAAGGAAATGGCGACCAGTTTTTCTCCATATGTTTGGGTTGGTTGGTTTGCTGATAAGCTTTTTTCAACCTGTGACTGTCAGAATGAAAGATCCTGAAGTGTTGCTGGGTTTGTGCCTTTGCACAAATTGATAACATCATTAGAATCACAAACAGTTGTGGGGTGGGGAAGGAACCTCTGGAGATCTTTTCACTTCCCTTCTTTGAACTTCCTGCGTTTTTGCCAATCCATTCCTCGACCTGGTGGAGTTTCCTCTGAGTGGCAGCACAACCACCTGGTGTATCAGCCTCTGCTCCCAGTGTTCTGCACATTTGTGAAGTTATCAGCTAAAGCTGAGTGAGTTCAGACAGACATTAAATAAAAAACATAATTTTACTAAGACTGAACTCAACTAAGCAGGTTCAGATGGGAAGAGTGTAGGAAAGGTGTGGAAAATATGTATGAGGAACCAGATGCAAGTGATCTTTCTTGTTTGAAATGAATCAGCAGTTATTAATTGATTATTTCAGGAGGGCTCTGACAATGAGGAAGAAGAAGGTGAAGAAGAAGAGGAAGAAAACACGGATTATCTTACTGACTCCAACAAGGAAAATGAAACTGATGAGGAGAATACAGTATGTATTGCAGCTGTAGATAACTGCATGGACTTTCACATCTGTGGTTTTCCTTATGGAATGGTTTTTGTCCATGCTGCTCATATCACATCTGGGAAAACACAGCAAGAACACTCCCTGCTATTCTTTCAAATACATTTTTTAGAGCTTGTTTTCATGTTTGCAAACTTGGGTTCTTACCTTCTGAAAATATTTATGCTGTCAACTTCACTACAACATGTTTTCACAGGACTGGGCACTTTCACAGGTAGTTAGACTGGAAAAGGTTGTGTAAATGATGGTTTTGCAATGCCACCAGTGGTAGTGAACTGATAGAATACAACAAGGTGAATTAGTTACACTCCACTTGTTCTCAAAACAGAAAAGGAGACAAAGCCAAGAAGTGCAAAATTGCCAAAACTTGAATTTGGGACTGGCAGATTATAACATCTGCAGTTGAAGAATCCTTCTGGTTGAGCCTGAATTGCAGTTACCCATTGAGGAGATAATGCACATCATAGGACATTGTGTTGGGGTACTGACTTCAGACATTTTTGTTGTCATGTTGTGCTTTCCAGACACTTGAAGGGTAGTCTGTGTCTTGAAAATACCTTCTGACTTTATGAACTTAATGAAAAAATGAGTTAAATTAGGTGTGTTAAGGATAAAGACTTTTCTCTGTATTGTTGCCACTTCTTGAACATGTCCATATTTATCTGCACAATACACACAAGTATGTCAAAATATTGTGAGTGGCCAAAAAGTCAGGACGTAAGTCTTTCAAGAAAATAATCAAGGCTGAAAACTTCTTCTTTGAACAACTTGGTTTTTCTAAACCTTTTGGTTATGTATGACACAGAAGCAGTAAGGATATTTTCCCACTTACTCTGAAACTAATGTAATGGAAGGGTTTTTTTCCCATTGCAATAGGAAGTAATGATTAAAGGAGGAGGACTGAAACATGTTCCTTGTGCAGAGGATGAAGACTTCATTCAGGCATTGGATAAAATGATGCTGGAAAATCTTCAGGTATAAATATTTATTTTCTTAAATTAATGTGCAGTTAACTGTCATGGTGTAACCCCAGGCAGCAGCCAAGCCCCACACAGCCACTCACTCTCTCCCCCACCAGCAGGATCCAGGAGAGAATCAGAAGAGTAAAAGCTGGAAAACTCATGGGTTGAGATAAAAACAGTTTAATAGGGAAAGGAAAAGATGCACACACAAGCAAAGCAAAACAATGAATTAATTCACTGCTTCCCACAGGAGGTGTTCAGCATCTCCAGGAGAGCAGGGCCCATCACTTGTAATTGCTGCTTGGGAAGACAAATGCCCTCACTCCAAACTCCCCCACTTCTTCCTTCTTACTCCCACTTTATTGCTGCTTGACAAATGCCCTCACTCCAAACTCCCCCACTTCTTCCTTCTTACTCCCACTTTATATCCTGGACATGATGTCCTGTGGTATGGAATGTCACTTTGGGTCACCTGTCCCAGCTGTGTCTTCTCCCAGCCTCCCATGCACCCCAAACTTCCTTGCCACTGTGGCTGTATGGGAAGCAGCAAAGCTCTTGGTTCTGTGTGAGCTCTGCTCAGCAATAACAAACATCTCCATATTACCACCCTGTGTTCAGCACAACTCCAGAACAAAGCCCTGTACTACCCACAGTGGAGAGTGTTCATCCTACCCCAGTCCAAACCAGCACACAGTGAATAAGTGATTAATACTTACCTTACCATCCTAAAGAGCATGGATAGTTTTTTCCCTTTGTTCTGGCCTCTTGTCTACTGTTGACATGTTTGAATAAGTAGCTTTTAGTAAAATAATAGGTGTTAATAGTAGTGTTTTCCCAGTGATTATACAACATGCTGACATATATTTGACTGAATGGATAATACTGTGCAATGCTTCTGACTTTATCCTAGGTTTTAATACGTTTACTATGTTTAAAATGCAGATGCATTTAAATTTACATAACATTTTAGTCCTTTTTTTTAGCTACATCTGGTAAATATTTAAGTATTGAGTATAGCAAATTCTATATAATGAATGCATTGATAAGATGTACCAAAAAAGTCTTCAGTGGAGAATGTGTCTCATCAAGTCTCTAAATTTCTTTCCTTAAGAGACTGTTATCAAAATTCCTTTATGATTTGAAGTATTCTCTTCCTGTAACTTTCTTCTTCACAAGTGAAGAGACCGAAGGAAAATGTAATAAAGCCTAATAGGGTTGGACTCAATGATCTTTGAGGTTTCTTCCAACCTGGTTGATTCTATGATTCTATGAAATGTATTTATACATTACTGTTTTCCCAGAAGGTTAAACCTTTTCTCAGTCATGAAACTCGAGTGTTGCCAGCCTGACTGACAGTGTCAGCATCTGAGCACTTACAGAATGTACCTTGTTTTAATAGCAACGGAGTGGGGAATCTGTCAAAGTCCATCAGTTGGATGTGGCTATTCCCCTGCATCTCAAAAGCCAGCTGAAGAAGGGTCCTCCACTTGGAGGTGGGGAAGGAGAGTCAGAGTCTGGAGACACGATGCCGTTTGTCATGTTAACACGGAAAGGCAACAAGCAGCAGGTAAGAGTTTGCAGAAGGTAGAGGTACTGTTTAAATCAATAAAAGCCTTTTAGAAAAGTAACACAACTTTTTATTTCTTCTTTCATTTCTCAAAATGAGACTCAGACAACTTGATAAATACCATATGTAGTTTCTTGGTTGTTAATAGAAATGATGTAGAAAAATTGTCTGGTCAGATGATGCTGTTACTAATGATATTTGGTGGTTACCCAGTAGGATAGTGTTATGTCTTATGTGTATTTTAAACGTAGTTGTAGAAGGTGAAGGGATGTGGTTGGTTGGCTGCCACTGCATGTGGAAAGGAATAGGGGAACAAAGGGAATGTTTCAGCATCTTCAAGATTCTTCAGGTTTTTCTGAAAACACTTTCAGCTTCAAATCAAGACTTAAGGCTTTTTCTAAATTCCATTTCCTAAGTAACTGCCACTTGGCTGAATTTGTTCAGCTTGCAAAAAAGAAGTCATTCTGTCTGAAGACATTTTTTAGGAGACTATTTGAGAACATACTGAGGAAATATTTTGGAGAAATTTAAATGGAAATCACATTGATAAAACAAACAAACCCCTTGCTTCATGCAGCTAAGCTGTGTGTTTGTCTTGGCCATTTTGCTCCAGTATATGTTCGAGTTTTCCTAGGTCAGCAAATGCACAGTATACAAATCAGTACCTAACACATTCCACATGCATTTCTCCTTGTGGTTTAGGTCTTATGAAGAAACCTTTGCATTTTGGTTGTATAATTTGATGGTGGAAATCAATGACTTCGAGTTTGTGGAAAGCAAAACCAAGGCATTGTTTTCTTCCATCCATCTGAGCCTTTCAGGTGTTTAGATCCATCTCATTACTTGCTTTTTACTTGTGTTACCTGAATTGTGACAGTGTTTTAATAGTAGAGGTGTATAAACCTGGAGTCTTTTTATTCCTTCAGATGAAAAGCACTTCAAAAACCGATGTAGAAAATGGTTATTCTGTTTTCCTGGAACTTCAGTGTTGTATACAAAGTTCTACACAAGTTTTGAGTGGGGAATTTAAACTGTTGTCATTGGTCTGAGAAGGGATTGAAGGGAACTCCTTTTTTATTTATTTTTTAAAGAAAATGGTGTTTAACCTTTTCAGGGTAATTTATTAGGAGTATCTTTAATTACAAAGCATTTTTGGGATCCTTATATTCCATGTGAGGGGAAAATATTGCCGATGTGCAGCTTAAAAAGAAAGCAGAACTTGTTCAGGATGTTTCCCTGCTCCTCCCCCAATATTTGGTTTTGGGAGTTGGCTCTTCCTGCCAAAACTCCTCTCAGTATTTCTAGAAATGTAGAAAACAGTTGCTTTATAGACTACTTCTGCTCTTGAGTTAATGAAAGGCTTCTTTGTCTGTAGTTCTGTATTCAGAAAAAAATGTCTTAGTAGTCAGTTTTAATAGAAAAATAAGCAGGAAAGGAGAGGTGGAGTTGAAAAGAAAATAATTATTCCTTCTTATAGTACTTTAAATCTATGTGAGCAGACTGTGCACAGAGATTTGAAGTGACAGACTCATACTCCACTGTTAAGTTATAGCTGCAAACTTTCAGCTTTTTTTAAAACAGTCCATGTAGTTTGCAGGCAACCTGAGAGGCTGTGAGTAACTTCATCTGCACACTCACATCACCACCTCACCACACATCAGCCTGTCTGTGTTCTTTGTCAGCAGTGCTGCTGAAACTAGACATCTTCACTGTTAGAAAGCACTTACTGATGAAAATGGAATGTGCTCTGCTTCCTGCTGCAGGTTAACATGTGGTGGTTGAGGTCCAGTGGCCACATAGTTCCCATGTCAGTGTGCAGCCAGATTTTAGTGGAGCACTGACAGCTCGTTTTTTGAAGCAACACCAGAAGAACTGACTGGTGTTTTCCAGCTGCACACAACCTGAGTTAATGGCCATTGCAGGCTGATAGTGGCAAGGACAGAGAGGATACCATGACTTGTCCTTTGTTGTCACACTGTTAGTTATAAAAACAGGCCATAACAAGGTTATTGGACAGACCAGTGTCTGCCAATACTTGGCTGGGTCTTCTCCACTTATCAGCTATAGCAAAGAAATTGTATGTCAAAACTTAGAAAAACTAGTAGCAGTAGAACCTGACGTGGTTATTGGAATTTAGGCAGTGTCATTGTGGTTTATCCATAAGCCATGAGGGAGCAAGGGGAAATAAAGTAATGTTGCCATAAGGGATCAGAGCTGAGCTCTATCTAATACCACTTGATGCTTCTTAACCCATCCAAGAGGTTTTATGGCAGGTAGATGTGAATTAAAGTGACATTTAGATGGCAAAAAGAAAGTCACCTACTGTCAAGAAATCTGGTTAATACCTAAGCCAAGATTTCCTTTCATTTGAAAGAGTTTTAGCAAGGCTCTGTCAGAGAATGATAATATCTGTGGAATGGTCAAGTCTGTCCTTGAATGTGGAATTCTTTGTCGTTAATATCTTTATCTCATGATCTTTTATACAATCTGTGATCTAGTGTTCCAAATAATCATTTTTATCTTTCCTCAGTTTGACATCATCTAAGTGAAATCCTCTGTTCTGTCCCCATCTCCCTAATTTTATAGGAGGCTTTTGGTACACCTCTTCACTATCTGCAAATCAGAAATGTTTTGGTTGTTCAGTAATCATCATATCCTTTGGTAATTGTCAGTGACTTGATTTCAGGTGGCAGCTGATTGCCTTGAGACAGTGACTCAGTGATGTTCTGTTAATTACCAGGGTGGTGTTTTTCTGAATCTGTTTCTCTCCTTTGCACCTTCTGTAGTTCAGTTTTGTTCTTTCCTCTTTGAGCATCCTGTCTGAAAACACCAATCCCATTAAGCTGATAAATCCGTAGAACAGAGAAAATACAAAGGACACATTAAAATGGATGAGGAGCTTAATGGTGAAGCCAAGGGATGATTTTTATCATAGAATGCTGCTAATGGATTAGTTATTTGTGTAGTTTACATAAAGCACAATTGATGATATCTGGGAACAGGCACAGCCTGCTCAGCAATAAGTAACCAAAGCTACTTTGCTCTTGGAACTTTCAGTTTTATTCTT